ATGCAATTTAGCACATATTAATAACATATTGCCTAATTTACATTTCTTGTATTACACATTTAAGAAAATGTATAATACGAAAGAAAATTGTCGATAAACTGGGGTTCCATAAGGATCCACTGACATCCATCTCAGACAGTAATACAATGTTATTCCAAACAAGAGGAATGATATACCTGTTACCCAGGGCGCTCTCAGAACTCACACTTAATATTATTGCTTTCTAATAACCTAATAAAGTTATATGATATTTGTTGACATCATTATAGCCAACATTTCAGTGTTTTCAGCGTGGACAGGATGACTCCTGCTTCCTTTACCTCCTCCATAAGTAATCTAAGCTGCTGCCGGGGGGGGGTTCAGAGCTCAGGGGAACAGGAGCGATCCATCTTAGTGCTAATTAGATAGGCGTGAGTTAATTGGCGTGAGATGAGCGGACGTGACGTCAGCTGGTCTGTGTACGTGCTCAGAGATCTATTCTCATCAAATATCCCATAACTGAATATAAAGATAGCCCCCCTGAGGGCCGTCTAAACAACACTAATGGCCACAACTGTGATGCATTACTGCAGCGACCTACTGTATGATGACACTAATGTATATCCTCAGGGGGTGGGGGGTGTTCAGCACGTATCAAGCACGTACAAGTGCATTATGGTCTGAATAAAATGTCTTCTTTGTGCTTGGCAATCATCAGTCCACCAAACATGCCAATTACATGCTAAGAGTAATAGAGTGAGGCCTCATATTTATTCCATACGTTTACTGTCCTCCTCCATACCAGGGATTACAGATCCTTTAAAGGATGGAGTTGTTTCTACTTCCTGTTCTGAATATTGTGGTCCTTTTTCTTATGACAAATGTACAGACATTCTAACTTCCCCAGAAGTTAATGAAAGTCTTCATCGTCGTATCATATCCCCACATACAGTTGGCTTCACAGATGTATTCTGGGAAATCCAATAAAAAGTGCCCGACACCCAAGAATTGGAACAGACTCAAATCAGAAGGCTACACTTTAAATAATAAATGACAGCAAACACTCACACAGTTATGACTCTGATTTAGAAAACCCTATTGAAGAATAGTTCCATTTGTGTTGGACCCACATGAACCCACTGTACAATAAGAGGGCATTTATTTGTGCTAATTTGCCAGATGGATGATGTATTATATTAAAAATGCATTACCAAACCTGTCATATAATATAATCATTATTTGTATATTAAAATACATAATAAAGCAGACATTTATATCACATTTATTTATACTACTGAAATCCAAAGTGTTAGGACGAGGCCTTTTAAGATATCAGGGAATAGTCTGAGAGACGTCTTAAAGGCAGATTGTTTTAAAGTGTGTAAGGTATGAGCTTAAAACAACCATTGGGTAAAGCGGTGAAAATATTCTAAATATAATGTTCTTTAGACTGATACATTTAAGATCTAAATGGCAGCTAGGACACTTCAATACACAATTCCATAGATGCACAAAACAATACAATTATGTTTAAATAACATCAAATGATCACAACAGTGCAGTTCCCCTCTGCTCTTCTTCTTTTCTCATTTATTTTCTTTTTTAAGGACCACCACTTTAGTGCTTTGGTCATTTGGTTAGGGTCTCCCTTCACATGGCCTTCAGGCTGGTATGATTTAGCGAGAAGAGAGACTTTTGTTCCAAGGCTTTACTCCACCATTTTCACATAACTACTGTCACAAAAATGTGAACGTATCACACACTTTGATCCGTTATGACAGGTAATGCAACAGATGTTTATACAAATCTATGCTGACATTGTGCTGTTTCATTCCCTCACTGTGAGATGGGTGGAATAAAGACGTTTCTATAAGCTGCAGAGTGTTTTCCATTCTGGTCACGCCTGGATGGGATGGAGTTCTTCAGCTGAGACGTAGCAAAGTTTCAGACCGGCGTTCCCAGGCTGGGCTTAAAGGATTGTAACACAGCGAAGTGAGAAGGCTACTGTGAGTCAACACTTCTCACAGCTGCAGCCTTTACCATACGACAGACACAGAGCTATTCCTCTATCTGATGGCTTGATGAACGCACCAGAGGAATCGCATCGAAATGTCATGCAGCGGGAAAACAAATAACATGATGAGATTAGATATGTCCTTCGTTTTTGAACATTTGCTACATAATCTGCTGTGGCCTGGGAAGTTTTGGAAGACTATATAACCTGATTTACATTCACATCTTTAATCCTTTCCCCAACATGTCATTCTGACAAGACCTTTTGTAAAACCATTCAAATCAATTAAAGGAGAATTATTCTCCCAGAGAATCAATGAGCTCCATTCCCCTGGTGGACTGTGTAATTACAAAACCCTCATTAGATTATGAAACTATACAACATATGGTGAGAGGAGGAGAGGCCTTTGAAGTGCTCTTGTAATGACTGCAGTAAAAGAAGAAGAGCGAGGATTGCCTGCCGTTACTTCGTTTGATTCTGTTGAGAGAAATCAAAGCGAGGGTTTCTGTATTTCCAGCGCCCCTCCCCCAGACCCTCCCCTGACTCCTCTGAAGGGACTCAGATACCGGCCGGGAGTCTGGCACTGACCCTGCATACGTCAAAGTGTTTTGGCACGCAGAGGCCAGCGGTGTCAACGCCCTTTTGAGAATGTTTGTCGTGTTTTCAAAGGACGCCTTCAGCAGAGAAGAAGGAGGCTGGATGTTTGAAGGAAGCGCTCGCTCCTCCTGAAACATGCACCGCTTCAGGCAGCGCTCGTCTTCTGTTCTCTCTGCATCGCATTTCACACGCTTTGGAAAAGCAAACAGAGCCATTCAGCGTGACTGTGTTTGACAGACAGGCAGCCGTGTTCAGAGCAGGGTACGATACTGAAGGCAGACCCAGAGCAGAGAGTCTGTGGAGCATCTGCAGCGCTCACTGATTACACTGATGTCTTTGTTCTGGAGACATTTCTTCTCCTGTAATTTCCCTGAAGAAAAGCATTTAGAAATGTGCAATGCAACAAAAAGCATGGAAAATCCTCACCAGTGATGGGCTTCCTGAGCTGTGGGTTGAGATGCAGATTGACTCTCAGGCTGTCTGCTGGTTGGTCCCTTTATGGCACCAATATGAACATTTTTAATAAGCCTGTTTCCCAGAGCAAGGGAGGCTAATATCTCACCGGGGTCCTCGGCTGAAACATTTAAGAAGCTCTCATCTACAGCACAATTATATGTAATGAACAATGTATTCATTTATGGGAGGGTTTGTTTGTATATGGACAGGATTTATTAGCAGGCTGTGAGGACATGTATAACAGTGGTAAACCAAACGTTATTAGGCAGGTTCTGAATTCAAGAGGAGAATCTTTTTCTGTGATTTCTGAGCAGATTTGTGGGCCATGCTGTCTTTGGAAGTCAACTCATTAAAGCTACATCATGTCTGTGTGTTCAGATATGAGTTATGATTCTGAGTAGCAAACATTTTGACGCTCAATTTGGCTCAACGTGATGGTGCTGTTGTCTCATATCCAGCCAGAGATTGTTGCCAAATGCAACAATGTGTTTCTGTGATGAAGCATCCACTTGTAATTGTGGAACACTTTCAGAAGAACCAAGTTGTAAGGACTGCTCTCAAAGGATAAAAACACAGTGATCATTCACAGGATTGTTTCATTTGTTAGCGGCAGAATGATTGGACAGGTCAACAGATGGTGCTCTTGTTGCGTAGAGCAGGCTGCGATATCATTTGAAACAATTTAACAAGAAATAACAAAGCAGGGATACATCTGTGCATTTCAGAATAATGAGACCGTTTCACCGGCTGATTGACAACAAAATGCTTCACTCCTCTACACTGCATGACTCCAGGAGTCATTACAGGGTTTATACAGAATCACTGAAAACCAACTCTGGCTGGTGATTTAATAACTTTATCACCACTTCTGAGGCGACGAGTACCCTTGATGTTACTGGGGGTTGGAAGTCACTTCAAATACAGCTGATAGATTTGAACTGAACTCACAATTATCCATCAGGCATCTAACATGTTTTCAGCAACATTCAGGGTCTAAAACTGTAGTTTCGTTAAACACACCGACATCACCATTCACAAGCAGGCTTACACATCTTTATCCCAGCCTTATGCCAGCCCCCAAGCAGCCCCTGAGGACCAACGGAGTGCGTGTGAATGTTAGTAACCATGATCAGGTGCGCCTTGTATGGCAGCCCATGATGTGTGTAAATGGGTGAATGCTGACTGACGTTTTTAAAAGTGTTTGAGGTGTTGTAATGTCTGGAAAAGCTCTATAAAAATGAAGTAAATGTACATTTACATTTGACAGATGTTGGATGGGATCAGTTGATCAAACGCAAGAGACACAATCAGCAAAAAATCTCTATTTACTTTCATTTTTTCTCTCTACTTGTTGATTTAGATTACTAACTAATCAACTAATCAAATATCATGGTTTGGGTCAAAACAAATACAGTATGTTTCCGTATTACGCGTCACCCTCACCTAACTTTAAATGATTCTTTTATGAGTTTTAGCTTCACACTGGACGTACACACTAGCCTCCTTGGTGAAAGTCCCATTGTTGCATGTATCTATCCCTCCCACTTATTACATACACACACTTTTCCCACTTACTTACTTACATAGCACATGTCCCGATTTCCAGAGCACTTGTTCTTGCTGTATGGTCGAATATTGGCGTGGATTGGTTTCCATTGTCGATAATTAAAACTTGATGTATGTCATACAGATCCTAAAGGGTGCCCTGTGCGCCCTTATCAGACGCCAAGGGGATATTTTACTCTGGACCACAAATGTGTACCTTAAGGTGACACTACAGGCAAATGTCTCCAAATGTATTAGATGTTATCATATTTGAATCAACAGTGCTCCATTTTCTGACAATAAATCCAAAAGTTGTTGGTCCGAAGTGAAGGACAGGCCGACAGACCGGCATTGCATTACAACGAGATACAAACTATAGTCATTGTTTTTATACACAAGCGTTAGTTACACAACCATACTTTATTACTGATGTCATCACTTACACAGACAGAGGAAGTGTCAGCGGTACCTACTGAAAAATCATACTTGAGTAACTAGTGGAAAACAGTTTGTGGTCATCACACACTCTGGACCAGATGCTTTGTGTTTCATTTGAGATGCTGTCAGCTAACCGTTCATCTGCAGAGCTGATACAGAACCGAACCTGGCAGGAGCGAGGGAAACAGCAACGGAACCATTTTCCAAACAGAAGTTAACCACGACTGGATCCAACTTCCTGTCTGTTAAGAGCTGCTGGGTTTGATCAGGTTATACCTTCTTACAGCACTGGTTCCATTAGGCTGTGCTCATAATGTGTAGTAGCTTCAGATTTAATTCCAGGATGTCCCCCTCTGTGCCATGGAAAACAGTATGAAACCATGATAAATGTGTTTGTGTTTTTCTTTGACAATCCCCCTGAATATCTGCTGCCATGCCACATATTTTCCTCTGTATGTGAAACTTTGAAACTACACGTTGTTATACAAGGAAGCCATTATTTGACTGATAAAACATAATGATATTTTGTATTGAATATTTGCGATGCTTACTACAAACTGACCTGCTGTTCATCCTGGTCAACTTGTGATACAGCTCCCCCATTGGGCTCTAGAAATACCATATTGGGAGGGTTCCCGTTGTATCCTCTAAAAGCAGTAAAATGTCAGAGGATGAATCCTGTTGTCCATTAGGCTGATCATCTGGAGTCCTTCAAAAAGAAGTGTTGAATGATCAGTCCTCGACGTCCATAGAGAAGAAGCATCCAGAGTTTTCCAAAGATGATTTGCAGTCCAGAGGAGAGGAAGTCTCTATTTACAGAACGGTCCTTTGCATGACTTCTCTTGTGATCGTCCGACTGGGAGCAGAGCTGTCGGCTCACCTGTCAAACAAAGAAACAGTGTCAAAAATAAGACATCAATAAAACTCCATCTAAAACAGTTTCTGGGCGGTTTGACCCTTTGTTTTGTAGTGTGTTTGAATGGTACTTGTACATAAATGCCAGCTTGTCTACACGTATTATAACACAATGGACCACTGTGAGGCTGACGCCATGGCTGAGGGTGAAAGAAAAGCACCTACGGTAAAAATAACTTTATTAACAGGAAATCCAACAAAGAAGAGTTGTGACTCCAGCCCACGTTGATTGACATGTCAAACATGTTGGTAAAGCTGTTGCAAAATCAAATGCATTATTCATCGCTGAAGCCTTTCTTTCATTCTTTTTTATATGTTCCACTGTGAGAGAACTTCATTAAATTCAGGGAGGAAATAATAAAACCTTTTTAAACCCTGGTGGTGGGAGGATGAATCAGACTTCATGCTCACAGATTTCCTTTGAGGCTTAGTAATACTTTATCATGGGGCGGTTCTACAGGTATAGGCCATGGGCTCACTCAAATCAGAGTGGTTTATCCCATTGGGAGCATGACTATAACCTGATGCTCCAAATGGTTTGTTAACACAGAATCATCCCAGAAGCTTTCATTTCAGGCCCTTTGAAAAACACCTGGCAGGTGATTGGATGGACATCTGTCAATCAAAAAAAAATGTTCCAGTGAGAAAGGCCTTCAGTGCTCAGTTTGCTCTTTTTTTTAATAAAGTCATACTCTTTCAGGGATATAACTGAGATATTTCAACATCTACTCTAACTTCTTTAGGAGCAGACATTGTTCTTTTGAACAAACAATCATCTCTTTGAGTCGTAACACACATAAACCACAGCCATACGTTGCCATTGCCAAAAGATCTCACGTGACGAGGATCGGTCCAGTTCGGACACAAACACAAAACAAGGTAAACTAATGAATGTGCCTTGCATTGACAATCTTCCTATAACATATCTTGTTTGTGAAGTTATTCTGAAAGATATGGGTTCATGGGAAAAGCATCATCTTAACCGGCGGTTTGGTTAAAAATAAATCAAGACTGACAACACCAGCGCCTTCAGCTCTTCCACACCATCCACCTGGTCACACAGAGCGTCCTCCTGACAGGATGAAGGACATGTTCCAAGGTCAGGTTGTGGAAATCCCCCAGTATCTAATAAAAGACTTATATTGTCTTCACGATGAGCACATCGATCCATCTGTTAGAGTCAGGATCCAGAATGAAGGAAGCTGGTGAGTTGGGTTTGTACTCCAAACTAGGGTTTTTCTCTCTTAGTTTGAGGCTGTCAGATACTCTGAAGACCTCCACTCTCCTTGAGATGAAATTGCCTGTCATGAAGACCAGCGGTGACTGGCAGCTCCTCTGCTCCTCCAAAAGCACATTCAGGAGAAGACTCCGAGGAACATAACATCACAGCCTTTATAACAACGTCCGATCGATTCCCAGCGTCCGTCAGCTGCCACCTCTGTTTGACGGACTGAGGGAAGCCTTCCCCGAACTTGTCCGGCTCCATTATGGAAGCTGAACTTTTGATAGGAAACAGACAGTTCTGACAGCCTGGTTATATTGATTCACAAATGGATCGTTTGACACAGAACAGGCCGGATCAGCAGCGCCACTCTGCACTGTGTCATATAAATCACCCCCCATTGTGCAGAAAAGCAAAACAATCCAAAAACCATCAGGCCATCACTCGACAGAATAGCCTGCATAACCATATTAAAGCCTGGGTAAAGAGTTTCCATACATCTAAGATGGCGCAGCGCTCTCTGAACAGCCTGTCATAAATTCTTCCCTTAACAGTCATTTACATTCTCAGCTGTCGCCATGATTAATGTGCTACTCATTTGAGAGTAACTCCTCGCTGAAAGACAAAGAGCGGAGACGCTTCCTGTCAGAAGAGAACATGTCTTCAGAGATGGATCTACACTGTGTCTCACTTCGGGATGGGGGGGGCTTCATTAACAGTATTTGAGTGACTGACACAATGCTAAAAATACCGAGAGGAAAACCAAGTCTTCTGTGGGTGTTGCGTTTGTTTAATTGGTGGCTGACAAGTGCTAATTTAACTGGCAAAAGATGTATTTCCATTTAGTGCCTGGAGTAAGGCTGTCTGACAGACTTCACACAGCAGGTGCACAGCTCGTGCTTGTGCATTTCAGCGTGTAATTGGCACACCGCAGAGTCCTTCTCTGCAGTATGTTTGTGTTGTAACAACGGAAGCTGGGGTTTTCATGGTATGGCAAGTCTAAAGCTGCAATATCCAATATTTGTTATTGAGAAACTGCTTGGGTTATCCGTAAAACAGAAAGGAAGGCTTGAGCTGCAGATTTAACTTTCTCAGCATCACTTGAACTGACTGCTTGTGAAGGAAATGTGAAGTTGTCTCTGCGTTCATTTGAATGGTAGCACGGGGATTTGCCTCAGGGCGAACACAGGATAGTAGTAGGAGACGTCGTTCAATAATAATATGACACACTCACCTGATACTACGGTGTGTATCTGTTAGAAACTCACAGGGCAAAGAGTGTTTCACTCATTGAGTAGTCACAGTGACGCTGCACTGATCCAGGTGACAATAAGGGATAACACTTTTTAAAAGTTTGGCAAAAGTGACAAAGATCTTCTACTCCTGAAAGCAGTGCCAGATGAATAGTGTAAATCACCGCCGTATGTTCTGGTTCCGCCCTGTTGTGATCACCAACCCTGCGATCTTTCCTGGGGGACTCTTGTTTTTCCTTTTCCTCTCCCAGTTTCCTCCTGGGGTCACAATTCTCCCCATCTATGAATATTTGTAACACCTTCTTCTGTAACTCAACCTGTTTCTGGCACTGTGCAGTGAGTGTTCCCATCAGGACTCGTGCTTCCTCCTCAGTGGGAGGCAGAGAGGGAAATGGAAAGTACTTAATGGATGGAAATACTCATATACTCAATAGACACTTTCAGACACCATGGAAAGAAGAATTCTCATTTGAACTTCAATGTTTGAAGGAAGAGGCATGCTATTTTCCATTGAGAGGCCAGTAAGTGCACAGAGTCTAAGATATATAATGAATGGAAACTGATGAATATAAGTTTATGCCAGAGATTCACTGACGTTCGTGCCAGAGGGAAGAATTATTCGGTCTTTTAGAAATATTCATAGTTTTTTAGGTCCCATTGTCTACATTGATCTCTTATTGGAAAAGGTCCCACCACTTTAGAAGAGGCAATCAGAAACTCATTATCCTGTTTTATTGGACTTTCCATACCTAGTCAATATCTCACAAGTGATGAAGATAAAACGCTTATGGCAAATCTGCTGTCAGACATTACTCGAAATGTGTCAAACCTGAGGCTCCCTTTACCATTGATAGAGATCATCAAATACATCTATCTTGAAGAAATGTACATGCTGCCTCTCCAAGAAAAATGAACACATACATTTTCAAGGTGGACTGAATGTGTTCATTGGAACAAGACTTTATTTGAAACATGCCAGCCACACATTTTTTGTAAAGGCAACATAGTTCTGTTGCATAAAAACAAAGGCTGCTGTGATATTACAGCCAATGGTAAAGGATCATGATTGTGGTTCTTCTTGATGGTTCGTTTTTTTGTTTGTCTTCCTCGACACTTCCGTTACAATTGAATTATGTCTCACTTATTATTTTATTTCCATCCATTTAAGTGATCACATTGGGTCTTTCATTTGTGCATGAAAGGAATTTATTAAAGATTCAGAGATTGTTGTCTTAATGATATCGTTTTTTTTAAAGTCCAAAAGATGGTAACCTCTCACTACCATGTACAAGTAGAGCTGGTTGTGCTAGCGGCTAGCCTTTCAAACTGAGAGACGAATGGAGTTGTGAGTTCAGCTTAGGAAGGTTACTAACGGAGTGAAATGACCCAGAAGAACATCAGTGGCAGCCATGATAAGAGCTGTTCAGACTCTCTAGATCAGGGGTGTCAAACTCAATTTAGTTGTGGGCCAAATTAGTGTTATGGTTGCCCTCCAAGGGCTGGTTGAAACTTTAACACTATATAAATATCCATATATCAAATGTATTATATTACATACATTCAGTGGTGAACCGTCAGGGCCTTAAGGGTATTCAGAGAATACCCTGGAACACTCAGATAAAACAAACAAAACATCGATTTAATTATATAAATAAAATGTAAATAAAATGAATAAATGAGAATGGTATCTGTGTTGTTAATCTGTAATATTACAGTGGTACGTTGATTTGTTTGTCTTTCTCGGTCCATGCACTTCGCATTTCAGTGGTTTTGTGTTAGAAATAAAATGCAACTAATCAGATCTTGTTCTGGGTCTCTGGGTAGAATATCCTTTAACAAGGTATTCTATATCCTTGATAGAATGGCGTGGCCCTGAGAGCGTACGTTTGGATTAACAGTTTGATCAACCAATCATATAATGATTTCTAGCCAATAGGCACATTCTTTCAGAGTTTCCCTCGGTACTCTAGAAGGCCCGGTAGGCTCGAGACAGAGGATCTAGATAATGCGACGTAGCAACTCATTTGCCGGTTTATTGTTTTTAACGTTGAAATGACCGTAACGCGAGTACTTTAAACATAAATCCATGTGTATCTCAAAATTTGCCATAGCAATACCTGGTTTTGACAGAGCGGGAGATATTCTGTTGAGGAAGCGGCTGCCTTTTGGTTCTTTGACTTTTGATGGCTGAGGTCAGCGTACTTTGCTCCATGTTTGGTGTCGCTGTGCCGCTGTAACTTGTGTTTCTTGGGCTCTGTCACTGACCGAGTTTCTTTTCCAACCTAATGAAGAATATATCTCTGTTGTCCACGTTCATAAAGCATATCAACACCATCAGAGCACGGTGCAAAGTCTCTAGATGTCTTCCAGTAGTCCTCTGTACAGAGAACTGTAGTTTCCTCCCAGCAGACGCACATTAAGAACATCCTCTGGTGCGTCATTAATACGTCTGATAGTGTCAGTGCAGTCAGATTCTCTTGAAGCCCAGTCGTCTTTTCCTAAGCCCTTTTGAATTCTCCTATCCACTATTCCTTAACCCTGTGACGTTTCACACAGAGGTCAAGGAATAGTGGATAGGGAAAGACGATAGGAGCCGATTATTGGACAATTCGACCTCAGCCACTCTCTCCCTGCTACGTCCTGTCCAGTGAGAGCTTTGTTTACTCTGTGAACCCTCACTGTTTTTCCTGTGTGTGTAAATGAATGTATGATACGCAGCAGAGCTCAGTGTAGCTAAAGATTCCATCTTTATGTTGGGCTGTTTTTCCTAAATCTCTGCAGAGGTGAAGAAGAAAGCCCGACCCCCTGCTGAAAGTTTTCTAGAAATGTGTTCCTCCAGCTGAGTTCAAAGGTGTGAGAGGAATCTGAGGGTGAAGCTGAGGCTTCGAACATGTTGTTGTTGTCTTAGTGGATCACCTGTCTGTCTCCTCACTATCTGTGGTGTAGTCACACTACCGGGACACGGGTTAATAATACCATGTGCCTCGTCTGTTTTAATGAAAATCTGACACTACACAGTAATTGATATGCATCCATTCTTTTTGTACGATGAAGCAATAATGAGACATTAATAATCCCAGTTGGGAATCTCTCTGAGTTTTTCATTTGGAAGATACGACCACAGCAAATGAAGATATAAATATATATTTAAAAGGTTTATTACCTGGACTCCGCTGTGAAGCATCTGACGTTACCACAGCTGCTCGTTGTCTCCGGAAATCTTCCACGGCGTTAAAGAAGACAACAAAAGAAAATATTTTTAATTTTCATACTTTCACCGAAATTCCAATTACAGATATTAGACGGACCTTTCTCAGAAACGTGGCCACTAAAAAAAACAAGAAAACATTTATATATATAAATATATGGTATCCAATGTTGAGGTCCCGACCAGTCCCTGGATCAATAGCCCCCGGCTCCAGGCTCCCGGCTCCAGGCAGGTGTGGTGCGGCAGTTTAAATAATTAAGTACATGGAGTGAGGCAGAAGTCTACGGGTCGTCATAACACACTGAAGGATACGGCATCACGTTACAACGCTAAAAGCAGGTAATTGGAGTGAGTAATTGGCCAGGTTGGGTGCTCAAAGTGGCCTGAAAGTGCTAAGGAGACATGGCAGCCCATTGATTACAGGCCCCCGGGGGTCCCAACACCAACTGCGAACATTAGCTGTTTTTAGGTGAAGGCAGTGCCAGACGACAACCGGTTGACTTTGAAGAGTCGATGTGTGAGCAGCCTCCAGATCTGAGAGGAGCCACGAGAAATACCCCCATCCTGTCCGGCAGGCCAGCAGCTAACAGGTGGTGTAGAAGCCTACGCCAACTTTCTATATTACCTCAGTACAGGTCGCTATCACGACCAGTGGTGGGGTTGTTACTTAAAAAAAGAAATGCATTACACATCCTAGTTACTTTTGAAAGAAAGAAATGCCTTACTTTACTAAATAAGTCACTGCTGAAAGTCATAAGTTACAATCATTTTGGATAACTCTTAAACATCACCTGAGATGCACCATAAATCAAATGAAAAATAACAATATCAAGTGAAACCTCATTTATCCCTGATCAGCACCAATCCTTAATCCAATCAGGACAGTACTGAACACAGAACTGTGGTCCAGGTAGCTTCAAAGGTGTTCCTGTTGGATGGAGGCTGCCCCCCCGTTACCTGTATCTTGCTCAATATGTTTCTGAAAGATGGTGATTCCACCGTGGAAACGGGCAGCATTACCCCGATACTGATCATGACATATCTAGTACGGCGTTTTTCAGCATTTGTATACTAAAGATACTCTTACACTTTTACGGTAAGTACATCTTGATTTGAGCTTGTTTTTAGATTAACATCCCAGTTTGCAAACCAAGCCTGCGTTAGCTAGTGACTTAGCATTTACTATGCTAATGGTCCCTGGCCCCATCTGGCCAAAATACAAATACGATGGCAACTCCAAACTGAAAGTTTATAACAGTATTCTATAAAAGTCACAGTGGCTATATCTACTTTTTTTCTGCAACCTATTGGTCGAGGTCAGATTGTTAGATGAAAGTGTTTGTTAATTAAACTTACCTTGGTGGTTTTGATCTTGTTCCCTGTAGCACAGCTCCAGCCCTTCAGATCAGGAAGGACTTTGCATTCCTCCCCGTCAAGGCACGGATGCATCTGACACCACCACTTCTGCTCCACTATGGAGGCTGGGGGGGGGGGGACACGCCAAAGAGAACATATTCAGAACCTCTTTATTCAGGTGGCCTGCCCACTGCCTTTCAAAGACTCTGGTCAACTTTATGGGAATCTATTCATAGGGCAAGTAAACCCAAACCAAAATGATGTTTCATCTGGATCAACAAGTGTTATATAAAAGTGCTGACAGCTGTAACAAATAATACGTTAATTATGTAATAATAAATAAGATAAAACATGTCCTATAGTTCTAAATTACACAAACATGCAGACCAGACACCTTTACGAAAGAGTAAGCTAGCGTGACATCACGGAGGTGGTTGCAGTTAGATGGGTGCAGGATTACTGCAGGTGCAAACTATAGAGTTCTACCCCTAGATGTTTGCTACAGGAATACAGCTTTTATTGTTATTCTATATTTTTTTGAATGAAGATGACTTTTTGCCCTAACTGTTTTGCTGCAACTTTATTGAAACCCAGAGTCTGAATGAAGCGTGCTCCATGCGTCAGCAGCCTGAGATAAAGCAACCCTCAAATAGCTGTTTCTCAACACGTCACATTCTGACAGCTGTCAGGTAAATGATGTAAGGTTTGCTTTGTGACTGGCAACACTTGGTAAATCTATTTTGAGTATTCGAACACTTCAGTGAGATCCTTGTCAAACATATCTACGTGTTCACCGGGTGAAAAAGAACTGGAGCCGTCTGAGGGGAAGCTGCCTCCATAACGAGTGCATTAGGCTTCTGCTACTCCATTGTACCAGACACCATTTCAATTTGCCATATTACAGAAGTCATTATCTACACTGCACATGCCACTCTAGCAGCATTAGTGTTCTCTGCTAATGAAGAGGACTGCTATCATAATCCACACAGAGCACCTGAGCCTCGCACAGTGATCGGCTCAGAATGGATACTTTATGACATGAGGTTATAGCAGCAGTGAGCATCAGGTCAACTGCAAGCAGGTGGTGGTTTTATAACAACAGCTACTTAAAAGCCACAAAGGTTTCTCATAACATTTTATGGGAGTATTGATAAGCAAACATACATTAAGTGCATGGGATATGTTTCATTTAACAGTTAATGATGCTGTAAAAACACGAGGGCCGCTCAAACTGACAACATCTGGGAGCAGGAAATAGATCTGTTGATTTCATTTTCTTTATTGTCGCTGTTAGAAACAACGGTTTGCTTTTAACCTTGAGCTCTGCTTGTTTACGATCAGTAGTGTGTTTGCATCTTATATTAAAGCTAGAATTGCTTAATTGCAATCATTTGCAAGCATTAGTATCACATCAGCGCACTCACAAACAGTACAGAAGATAGAGAGTTCTCTTGCCTGTTATGCTGTTTGGGGTGTTCCCCTCCTGTAGTGTGTTCTATAGGTTTTAGTGCATGTAAATGGTCTGCAAAGGATAACATCCCTGTGTTCCCTCCAGAGGGAGTTTCTCTCCCACACACATTTTTCAATTTATGTGCATCTTTATTAGTTAATCGAATCACAATCTCTTCATAGTTTCTGCCATGGTGGGTCACATGACCGTTGGGTGAGTCAGGCAGCCAGGGGACAGTTATTAGTGACAGACCAGAATTACTGTGGCATATTACATTTAAACTGAATAATAAATATCACATGAACCTTTTTACACTTACATTGTTGTTCAAACCAAACACATTTAGTTAACTATGGATTTGGATGGATTTTTCTCTCTCTACAATATACATTTACAGTCTTAACAAAAAGCCAACTAGTGCAGGGAAATACCACACAGATCTAAGGAAATTGGTATTTTATAATCTTCAGGATCTTTTCTTTTCTTCTTTTCTTCACACTGTTAAATCTACATTTATATTTAATTCAATATGCCATTCCTTGCACACTTGTAAATAAATAATATCCTACTTTTAAAATGTGTAGCTCTTCATAGTGTTTATTTGTCAGATACTACATCACAAATCCATCCACTACCTGTAAACTACTTCAACTACAAACACGTAGATCTGTAGTTTAGTCATACAATCATCTTTTAAAGATTTCTTTACTTTTATCGCTTTTTCCAAAGTCACCATAAACAACTAAATGTATTTAGGTCAAAAGGTATTGGTATCTGAAGTACCTTTCTAAGTTACACATTCCAATCCATTGAAGTCCAGCTGTCTGGAGGTCCATTTGTCTTCCTTTAAGAGGAGTGTGTCTCACACAGCGCGCAGCTAAAGGTAATCCCTGGTTGTAGAAGAAAGAATAATTAAAAGGTTAAGTGCTGAACATTTTCTTCTGAGATCATCCATGGAGCTTTAAACCGAGGCCAGTGGCTCACAGCGCTAATTTGCAGAAAATGTCAATACTAAAATGTCAAGGAATAGGTCAAACACGATTGGGTCCGGAGTTTAGCCTGAAATCAGGCTTCTCAGACTACAGAGAAGAAGGAACTTGAGCAGAGTCCGGGCTCCCTCATTAGCATGCTCAGAATCTCTGGGGGCCATTAACAGGCAGCGGGCGCTACACACCGTTCACAGGTGAGTATAGGATGGTGAGGCCCGGCAGCAGACACTATTCACTGGGAGCGCTCATTCTGATATAACAACATTACTCCAGTCTAATTGCATTGGATTAGACAGGATAATAATGACCAATGGAAGGCCAGCTCTGTCCTGGGGAGTCCTCTGGACACTGTGGAGGTGGTGGGAGACAGGAGTATGGCAGCCAAGCTGTCCTCCCTGCAGGACAATGTGTCCCACCCCCTCCAGGACACCCTGTCCTCACTGTGCAGCTCCTTCAGCGATAGGCTGCTGCACTCCCGCTGTCTCACGGAGAGATACCGCAGGTCTTTCCTTCCTGCAGCGGTCAGACTATACAACCAGCACAACCCCTAGTTGACCCCCCCCCCACACACACCACAACACAGACCATATCACCCCTTGCTGCTAAATACCAACAAACTATGTGCAATATGTGCAATATATAAATGCCGTTAATAACTCTGTAATATATACCTGGCTGCTAAATCCTTAGAACTGTTACAAGGTGTGTATTTTGTATTTTGTAAATTGTGTAACTTGCTGCTGTTAAATACCAACCACCTATGTGCAATATGTGCTAGATGTGCAATATATATATAGATGCCGTTAATAACTGTGTAATATATACCTGGCTGCTAAATTCTAAGAACTGTTACAGGATGTGTATTTTTTTAAATGATGTAACTTCTTATTTGTTATTATATCTTTTATTATATCATAACTTAGTACTAATGCATGTCACATATTTAACATATGTAACATTAAGCTGTCTGTGGCTCTTTTTCCTGCTGTAACGACGCACATGTCCCCTCCGCGGGACTAATAAAGGTATTCTGATCTGATCTGATCTGAATCAAATGGAAGCACTGCTGCTACCAAAAACTAAAGATACACATTAGAATTAGAAACACCTTTATTTTCTAATTCCCCATTTACGTGTCCACCACCTTCCTAAACATTCAAACAGATATTAAACAAATGTGGCAATTTATAATGAACTGCAGGGGGTATATTTGTTTTAGTTGTTGGTTATTTTCTTTGGAGATCTTATTTATTGTTTTAATATATGGAAACACACGTAATCAGATTGTCCCAATCATATTTGAGTTGCTCTTTGCGAGTTGATGTGAATGTAACTGACTGTGTTGAATGGGAAAATGATAATATGCTTGTTTTAAAGACCCTGCATTTCATTGAATACAAATCATTGCAGACATGTCATATCAGAAAATGTTGTTTTGTTGTCCAAAGAATCAATAAAATGTTGTAACATGATGAAACGTCAAATTAAGACCCCTAACCATTTCACAGAATAAAAAAGATAGACCACCCCAATACTACTGTTATTACTACGACATTATTGCAGCAGCTCATACTATCTACCAACAACTGTCCTGTACAGTCTTATATAAGGAACCTTAAAGAGAAGACTGAACAAGCTTGACTTTGGAAAAACGTACTAAAGAATTACTGTCATTAATTCCCCCCCCCCCGCCGAAACACATACTTGAGACTGATGTCATTTTCCCAGCTATCCCCATTTCTTCTCTTCGCTCATATTTCACGGTGTGCACATAAAAACGTGCATGTTTCGGTACTGTTGGTGGCCAAATTGAATAAAAAAGTAAATTGGAAAAACATTTATCAAATCTGAAAAAGTGTGTACATTTGTACCTTCAAAAGCTCTCTAGAGTTGCAATAATGTTCATATTTTGGGGTTTGGTAAAGTAATATATTCTTCAAAAATATGTATTTTGTTGGCTCTGAAAGCTTTTTTGGGAGGTAATATAGAAAACATTGTGGTGCAATTATTGGAAATAATTAAATAAGACCATTAACTCATCTCTACGAGGCTGAGAAGTATGGTCGTTTCTTCATAGATGTCTATACAATTGGACAGAGGAGCTACAATAAATCATTTAAGCATAGGAACTTCTGCATTGACACTTTTCAGTACTGGAGTTTGTCATGTGGTTAGGCTGGCAGTTTATACAAATTGGACTGTTCCACTTGGATTAAAACCTCTGAAGCTATTTTGTACATCTAGGAGCAATAGCCATACATTGGTGGCCTTCCTCGCTCTTTGTCTGTCCTGTGGCCCCTCACTTTGTGGTTGAACCAACAGGGTTAGGGTTAGGGTTAGGGTTAGGGTTAGGGCTGTGATGTACTGTATCAGAATACTGAAGATGGCCCCGCCCTAGCCGAAGTTCTAACAGACCTTGCTCATCTCAAAATGTTATTATTTGTCGGGTTTGTTGTATTATTGTTTATAAGAGCGGAAATCTATTTAGTGTATCAGCTTAACATGGTTGACTGCTTTTATCCAATTCAAGCAAAGAACATTAGAAATCTGGACTGAAAGTGTAATAATTGTTTGGGATAATTGCTCACCTTAACGCTGGGCTTGAATTATGAAATGTGGTTCATATGAATATTTGCTTGGTGACTATTGTTTATGAAAAAATTCCATGAAATTTGACGACAGTGTCCTGGAGCATGACCTATTGTCTGGGACACACACATGCTCTGCACTGGAGATAATAACTGAAATGTGTGTACAGAACATTCTGCTTCATGACTGAAGGCATGTGCATTTCCTTTGATACACTGTAATGATAATCTACTTATTGCTAAAACACCTATGGATGATCCAAGTAAAGGTGTCCAGTCTGTCTATGTGTCTCTCCCCCCCCCCCCCCCCCCTCTGTGTTATGTCTGTTGTTACTTCCTGTCTCTGTGTTTCCCTCCTGTGGATTACTGATTCTGTTCACCTTGTGTTGTCCCCCCCTAACCCCAGCTGTGTCTTGTCCTTGTGATTAGTCCTGCATGTGTTTGAGTTCTGGTTCTGTTAGCTGTTGTCAGATCCTTGTATGTTGTTTGAGGAATTGTTCTGGATTATTCTATGGAGGGCTTTGTTACTTTTGTTTGGCCTTGCCTTGTCCTGCTCTACTGATTAAAGGTATTAGTCAGTCTGCATTAGGGTCCACCCTGCTCTGCTCTAAACCCTGACAGAAGTGTATCCTGATGACTGGTTAGAAGCTGATCACGGCCCATGATGCATTGCTCTGCAGCGTACCGTCGACGCAGGAGGGGGCTGCTCGGGTGGTCCCGGCCACCTGCCCGGGGAAGCAGGAGCACTTCACAGTTTGGGAGCGCTCCTCGATCTTGTTCTTGTTGCAGCAGCGGTGCAGCGCCACCACCTCGCAGGTGCCGGTCCGGACCTGGTGCGCTGCTGGAGGAACACAGAGGAGAAGTCAGGGAGCATTCAGTGGTTATTATCTTCATTTACACAGACACACTGGTGGTTCTGGACTGAGTCCCAGAAGCCCCTCACTGGGGTCTCCATTGTCTGCCCTGCATCCGCTCCTCTGTCTCAATAATGCACAGATGACCAGGGAGGCACACTACACTTCCCTTTAAAAGGAACTCTTTATCACAGCACTCAACCTTCTGTGTCTTCTGAAAGGTGTTTCAAATTAGGATAATTTGGCATTATCTTCATTTGAATATATTTCTGAACAGAACAGTTTGTTAAAATTACAGTAAAATGTTTCTCTAGAAGGAATATTCTAGAAGGAATATTGGATATGTCTATGAACACTCCATAAATGAGAACAAATATATAAGTTATCTTTTAGGAATAACATGTTCCATGAATCAGGCTATGAAGGATATATGGAGAAACCTCTCAGTAAACAAATGTTAGAATATAGATAGAAATACATTTGCATGTTTGACATTATTGCTACTGAAGTTGAGATTTGACTACAGGTGAACAGGGTCAAACTAATATTGGATAACACAGTGAAACTCCTCAAGTTGATTACTTTCAGTCTAGTTTTTTGAATAATTATGTTTAAATAGGCAAATCATGCATTATTTAATGCTTACTTTTAAGAAAATATACATACAAAAATATTCAAATGTAGCTATTTTCTGTACACTAGTTTAAAAGGACATGTTATGGAAGCAAAATGGCCCAAACTCCATGAAAAAACAATGTTTATTTTATTTTTGAGGGAGAATGCTAGTTGCATTCATACGCCTGTGTATCCCATCTATACTATGACTGATGACATCAGTTCATCACGGCTGTTTTGTTTTATTGGACACACTTTCTCACAGAAGACATAATAAAACAGTTTTCAAAGGGGGAGTAGTGTCTGTTGGGAGCCCCTCAGAATTTTCCTCTCTAAAAGTATAAGTCAAAATCCAAGAACTGATATGGCTGTACCCACATCATTAAGAACAGTATTTTCACCCTGCTCAGTTTTGCTCACATTTGATGAATGCAAAGATACCTTTGAATAAATAATAAAGTATGATATGGTAATGATTGGAACTGATACCGTTCTAGTTTCCCACAACAGCCTTTAAAATATCCAGGTATGTGAAGGGGAAAGTGCAGCGCTGCAGTATTTGGAGCCAATTTCCAGATCACGCTCCATTGTCTGAATTATTTAGAGCCTGAGCTACTCCTTTCACTTTTAATTGCATGTGACATTTTCTTGAGGTGTCCTTCTGCTGAGAGGCTCACTGCTGCAGCAAACAGTAAATGTGAAATGATTGCGTGAAACTGGTCCAGACTGTGTGTACTTTTGCGGACCGCCGCTCAGCTAAACCAGTTAATTATGTTCTCACTTCAGTGTGTTACATCGGTGGACAGCAGTGCTTTCCAGCTGCTGAAACATCAATACTGAGACAACAGTCAGCCGCTCTGCTGAGGCTGAGAAAACCTCACAAAGATGTTCTGCAACCGGTGAGCTTCACTATATCCCTGAGAATCACCTACTGCAACCTTTTCAATTAAGAACTCAGGCAACACAGCACTTTCAATAAATTAAAGGGTCCCTATTCTGCTCATTTTCAGGTTCATAGTAGTATTAAGTGTCTCTACTGGGACATGTCTCCATGCTTTAATGTTCAGAAAGCTCTTTATTTTTCTCATACTGCCTGTGCTGCAGCACCTCTTTTCACCCTCCGTCTGAAACCAGAGCCCAGTCTGCTCTGATTGGTAAGCTGGCCGGCTCTGTTGTGATTGGTCAACCGCTTAGGGATGTCCCGCCCCTTAGCCTATCATGTGCACTGCCAATAGAAGCCCAAGTGTTACATAGTGAGGTCACTTTGTTACAGAAGTAAACAAAGGAGTCCAATGGAGGCGTTTCAGGCAGGGGGGGGGTTGTATGGGAGAGAAACTCCCTCTGGAAGGATCACAGGGATTTTATTTTATATAACACACTAAGGGACAGGGAATACCCCAAAAAGCAGAATAGGGCCTCTTTAAGTCGGAGTGTTATATACTTGCACCATATGCTCCTTCCCTCCAATTGCATTGCATTGACCTAATGGCTGCTCTTACACATTTAGATAACAGCAGGCGCAAAAGGACTAATGCGACAATTCACATCGCTCTAATCGCTCGAGTTTGACCGCGGATGTCAACTGTGTTTACTCGCGTCATTCAAACAAGACACACTGGCGAGGAGGCGGGGCTTATCTCCATGTAGATACTATGGTAGATACCGCCAACAACAAAATGAACATATTTTACAATGATTTAATTGTAATACATGTTTTCAAATATTGCCGAAGTAACTACTGATACCAGTTTGTAAAAACCATGAATTCATGATCTGGAGAATATACAGATGGCAGGGGAAACACTTTTAAAATGCGTGTTTTCTGAATGGAGATCTGATCGATCAGGCTAACATGTAGCTGCTCCGTCCACAGGCACAACGCGGTCACACAGACAAAAATAAAGCAGTGAGTCTGTGGTTTGTACATTATAACTGTTCTCCAGTCTCTGAACAGATATGAGGAGATGTTAGCTCTGTGTGCTAACTGCTGCTGTTTTGGTTTTCTGATTCAACGTCAGTGACGGCAGGCTGAGATCCTCACCGCTGATTGGCTACGGGGAGCGAGCGTAGCGCACATTTGAAGCTCTCCCCAACATGCAAGTCGCGTCTTTGCATTTCCTTTACATGTAATCGTGACATGCAAAATAGTTGCATCGCGTCCGGTGTAAACGCACCATAAGACTCATGAATTTAAAAGGCAAATAGAGCAATACAGAACAGAATAATTTTGGTTTTGAGTGTGCACTCAATGTTGATACCTGTGTGCTCTATCTATCCCTCTGACGTGCACCTCATATATACAAAATAAAGCAGGTAGTTTCCCAAAAGCAGCTGAATTCTTACTCATGGCCAAAACAAGAAACCATATGAGAGACAACAGGCTGAGCTGCTTCAGATGTAACCCATGTTGCTGGTCTCTCTCTGAAGGAGAGCTTCACACTGAGAGGCTGGGGTTTTTCTGACTGGATTTGGAGTACTACATGCATTCCCACCCAGCGGCCCCTGCCCGCAGATACAGAGGAAAGCATTTCACTCAGGAATCAGTCTGTCCTGCACACCGGCTTTAAACCTGCTGCGCTGTGACTGTGACAGAGAGGATGTCATTTAATAAAAAACATATAAAGACATTAGTAAACGAGACATCAGTTGAGAGCATCCCATGTGGACAGTATTCCCTGGATCCCCTCCACACAGACTTGCTGTAGATCAACTCATTGTTTTGTAAAGGTGGACAGGTCCCATCTTCCTGTTTTGATGACTCATCATCAGATTGTTTGAATAGAGTTTCCCTGAGGTGTGTGAGTTTCAGAAACCCACATCCAGTGTGTCACAGCACTAAGAAAAGTAACCAAAACACCTGACAACTCCCGGGTCTCCATCCACAGCCCAGCCTCACACTGAACAATAATCACATGACCCTGTAACTAAGCATACATTGCTCTCGTTGTAAGTGGACACATGGGCTTTATGCAGGACGTGATAAAAGAACAATCTTAATTTGTAAGTACCCATCTCTTTCTTGGACGTTATTCAGCTCCTCTCTTAATTTTAAAAAGATTATACCAGCTGTTGTATGATATTGGCATGTTCAGCTTGTGAAAGGCTCACATTCTGCTCGTTGATGCTTTTAGTAACACCAGAACTGACGCTGTGGAAAATCCCAGGTTTATTTTTGGTTAGGTTTATTTACCAGTACCTTGATTTTACCACTGCAGTTTTGAATTGTTTGGTGCATCTGGAATCGACTTCTCTTGTTATTCAGTCAATTAAAGTTCAAGAGACTGTTGCTGCCCCACGGCCAAGGGTCCACATTAACCTGTTAAGCCCCGAGCCTGTTTTTCAGGCCTCAGGCTCGAAAATGACATTCCCAGAACAAATTACTATAACTTCACTTCTAAAAGGGGTAAATTAATAATCTTTTTTCTCAAAGCAATGATAAACCTGTGAGTTGGATGTAGAAAAGTCAGAATCAATATAGAATTGTTTTATTTTAAAGTAAATTCAGATTGAACATAGTAAAAGAAATTAAATTATAGTGTCCGTCCAAAAAAAAAACATTACTTATAGTGAAAACCACCCTTGAAGGATGGGATAGTAGACTAAAAGCTTTAGGAATCCAAACTATAACATATAATAAGTAAGATTGATGCAAAACAAGTGACATTTGACCTTTTTAGAGAGATTTAGCAAAAAAAAAACACTTCTGGGGTCATTTGGGTGGATTTTCAATATCTCTGGCCCCCCTCGGTCGATTTTGATTATTGACACCTCTTTCTAACCGTTAGAGCCAATGGAATCGAGAGGAAGTTCCTAAAATCCATCTAAACATTACCCATTGGTGAATAGAGTGATGCACAGCCAGAAAGCCCAAAACCGGAAGCTGTCATACACTCTGGTAGCTATCATAGCAGCTATATATGAAAACTCCGTTATTGACATAAATATGAAGATGGATTATCAGTCATCATTTCAGACACATTGGATGAACCTATGGATTAACCTTCAGCAGCGTATTTATCGTTTTAATGCCATTGAACACAACTTTTGATCAGAAACAGCAAAAGGTAAGACAAATTGGCCGTGTTTGCTCCATAAAGCTACGTTGTGTGATGTCTGTGTTTGCTTCCCCTGTCACGAGTTCTGATCACTCAGTGGTGATACTTATATTTCTGGAATCTGTGGAATCTCAGCTTGCTAATCGATATCTTGTTTGTGCAAATCCGATAAGTAATAAGGGTATTTTAATGTGAGTTCTGTGCTAAGCGCGTTAGCATTTTTTCGCTCAGGGCTAATTCAGAGCCTTTGTTATTACCCTTGTGTTTCGTTAGCTAAAAATTGTTAATATTGTCTGATAGCTGAGTTTCTTCCCGTT